GCAGGACTCGGGAACGCTGGCGCGGAGCGGGGCTGCACCACCCGCCGGCTTCACCAGGGGAAACTGAGTCCCAGGGGAGGGCAGGCCAGCAAATGAGCGTGGCCCAGACCGTCTTGGGAAGCAGGATTCCACTTCCTGCCGGCCATCCACGGGCAAATTGTCTTTTTTAGCTCCACCGGGCCCCAGCCGTCAGTTCTCGTCTCAACCACTGGGTCTGTTAAAAATGCAATAAAGACCTTCAAACGTCCCTGCTTAAAACAACTTGCCCCTTATATTTAGATTAAAACCCACCTCCTTCCAGAGCCCACGCCAAGATCCTATTGGCCTATATGTGCCGCTTCCCTGGTCCATTCTGCCCCGGTCATTCTGCCCTGGTTCCTGCCTCAGGACCTTTGGCCCTCTGCTGAGGACGCTCTTCGTCGGGACCACTGCTGTCCAGTGCAGACATTATGCAAGCCCATAGGAACTTCAAATTACCAGTTGGCACATTTTTCAAAAGAAAGCTTAATGATGTGCTTCATATAATCCAATAGGTCCAAAATCTTAGTCTGTAGCCTGTAGCCAACAACAACAAAAAAATGTATTTATGAGATGGGGTGGGCGTGGGGGCTAATCGTATTTCACCGCAATACAAATTAGCGCATTTCAAGTGTTCAGTGGCCCTATGTGGCTAGTGGCTACAGGTCGCCCTGGACAATCATTTAGCTGACTCCTTGCTTCAAGTATTCCACCAGTCCTACCTAAAATTCCTTTCAGTCATCCCCCTGTTCTGTTTTCTTTTTAGAATCAAATGCTGGGGTTAGCTGATTGGCTTCTACTATATATCCTCTTTCCTCACTCTGAAAACAGAGATTTTTGCCTTTGTCCTCAATGTTTCTTCAACACCTAGACATTGCCCAGCACAGAAAGGACTCAAAGGCACTGTGAATGAAGGACTAAATGAGTGGACGGATGTGACTTTGTTCTTTCCTTATCACCAAAGGGTAGGAAGGACACTTTGGGCTCATAAAGTCAGAAGATGCAGGACACAAGATGGCAAAGCTGCTCTGGGCAACTAACCGTGGTAATTACCAGCCCTCGTAATGCCACCTAATGAGGGTGATCACTGCTGACTCACGACAGAGCGGGGCGGAGTTCCTGTGAAGTGGGCTCAACCCTGGAATGTCAATACCAGCTTCCCTCAGAGGCTTAGGCTTAAGTGTGAACCCCCAGACGCTACAAAGGTAAAGCAGAGAAGGATCTCTGAGTCTGGAGAAACCTGGCTGTACCTAGAAAGGTGATCAAAAATGCAAGTGCCGGTCACCATTCAATCAAGCAACATTCCTGAGTCTTCGTGCCCTCACCTTCTCAGTGACCTAAACATGCACCCACCATACAGCCATCCTTCCCGACCTCACAGAAATGAAACCCCACACGCACACTGACTATTCAGGAACATTCATAGCAGTTTTATTCATAGCCCAAATCAGGGAATGATCAAACATTCATCAACCCCCACACAGGGTGGTCCTCAGCAATGAAGAGCTACAGACACCATTCTGGCTGAACCTCAAAAGGATGAGCTTAATAGGGGGCTCCCTGGTGGTGCAGGGGTTAAGTCTCAGAACTCTCAAGCTACTACCAGCCACTTGGGCATGAGTTCCTGGGATCCCCAGCCAGGGAGCTGACCCACAGGGCACAGCAGATCTGATCAGTGGGTGCTAGGAACTGGGGCTTTGAGGAGGGGGCTGAGTCAGAGCACAAAGGAACTTTTCAGGGTGGTGGAACTATCTCTACTTCGATTGTCATGGTCACCACCAGGCTGAATACAATTACAAAATACATCAAAGTAGGCACTTAAAATTGGTAAATTATGTTTTATGAAACTTAGTCCTTACAAAAGCTATTAACTTTCCTTTCTGTGCCAATCCTACTTCAGATTTACTTTTACAAACAGTACAGGACACCAACCCTCACGAACACTAGTCCTTCATCCTCATCTCAGCAGCCACCACTCTCCAGAATCTTCTAGACCAGTGAGGGGACCAGAGGGAGGGCAGGACGCCAAAGCTGCTGCAGAAATGTTTCTTGGGCCCACACAATATTTTGAAATAATTAGAATTAGTTACCAGGCTTAAGAAGCGGGCGATTACACATGAAAACCTAAATGGGGATCTTCTCTAGCAAAAGTGGAAGATTCGGTGACTGGGAACCCCTATACTTCCTATGTCCACCTTCATTCACTGCTTATTCAGCACTGGCTGTGTGCCTCACGCTGCTCTAAGTCACTGAGGCTACATCGCTGAAAGTAGACAAGTTCAACCCTACTGGAGTTTTTATTCTTTTTTTTTTTAAGATTTATTTATTTATGCACACAGAACTGGGGTGCAGGCCAGAGTTGCAGGGGCAGCGAGAGGATTCACCAGAGACAGGGTGGGGAGCAGAACAGGCAGATTGACAGAGACGCAGCGGGTGGGCCAGGAGAGGTCTGCCGCGCCCTGTGGAGCACCCCCAGGGCTGGGGACTGAACCTGCACTAAAGGGCTGTCTTGCAGTGCTGCACTTTAACCTGTTGTGCCACCAGGGAAGACCCTGGAGTTTTTATTCTAACAGGAGTGCTAGACAACAAACAATACATGTAACATACATAAATTACACAGCATTTGAGGTGTAAGTACTATGAATACCCCAATGGAGAGGCAGGGACCTGGCGGGGAGGAAGAACTTGCAATTTTAATTATGAATTAATTTAATCAGATCTTGAAGGCATTTAACTTGCCCAACAGACAAATAATGCAAGCCACATTCTTAATTCCCAGTGTTGTAGTGGTCATGTAAAAAGGGGTGAAACAACATTAATATATTTTAACCTAATATCTCCAAAATAGTCTCATTCCAACACGTTATGAATACAAAGATTATTAATGAGCTATTTTGTATACGTGTTTTATATTAAGCCTTCAACGTAAGGTGTCTTAGACCCGAGGTATTTCACAGGTCCAGTTTATATTAGCCACTTTGCAGTGCTCAGTAGCCACGCGGGCCTGGGGGCCCAAGTCCAGGATGGCACCGGTGCCTCGTGAGCAGGACAGAGAACAGCCCCCAGCTCAGGGACCCACACCCTTGCCTTACCAATGGAGCCTCAGAGCTCCAGGGAGGGGGCGCACAGGCGGGTGGGGATGGAGGCTGGGGAGCTAGGACACAGCCCCAGGCTTCCTGACCTTGAGGCTCGTCAGAGCAGCCTTCAGCCCAAATGCCCAACTTTCTGCCCCGGCTGCTGGTTTCAGAACACGGAGCTGCAGGAAAGCCAGAGAAGTCCCTGGAATGAGAGAGAGCAGGGGGGCCCTTCCCCTTTGAACCCAGGCTTTGACTTTCTTGTGAAATTCCCAGGAGCTGGCTGTCAGGAGCCTTCCACAGGAAGCAACTGTCCGCCCGAGTTGACTCCCGAGTTAAGTATCAAATCCAGGCGGCCCTGCCCTTGGGTGCTCTCCTCTGCTCAGCAAGGAGAATGAATGTCTGGCCTATCTCTCAGGGCAATTTCAGAGATAAAATAACCAAAGCGGTTCCCCAACTTAAAGACAGCAAAACTAGAGAATTTCTCACACCACGGCTCAGACTCTTCCCATCATGCCCTAAGGAAAAGCCGAGGTCCTATCTGTGGCTCCTGAAACTTGGCCTCATGTTCTGACCTATCCCTGGTTCCCACAGCTGTCCTGCCCTCCCTTCGCCAAGGCCGTGTCTCCATCCCCATCTCCCCAGAGAAGGCCTGCTCAGTCCCTCCTTGGGGAACAGACTGGGCAACCTGATCTCGGGGCCCTCTCCACTCACTCAGAACCAGTACCGAGAATCTGGGCAAGCACGAGGAGGAATGCACACTCTTGAGGGCGTGTTCTCAGTGATGTCAGCTAGGGTGGGGTGACCAGGGGTTATTGCTGATTAGCAGGGGCTGAAGAGTTCCCTTCCCACTAATCAAGGCATTCTATCTCTCATCCCTATTCTTTTATTATTATTATTAAAGATTTATTTATGCTTACAGAACTGGGGTATAGGCCAGAGGTGTGCTGGGTGAGAGGATTCACCAGAGACGGAGTGGGGAGCAGAACAGGCAGATCTTCTGAAATACACTGCTGAGGGGAGCAGTGGGCGGGTCAGGAGAGGTCGGCCACGTCATGTGAGTCAGCATGGTGGTAGAGAATTGAACTCGTGCTGCAGTGGCTTTGGAGAACTTCATAATGCGGTGCTTTAATCCACTGAGCCACTAAGGAGAGCCCTCATTCCTATTCTTACTTAACTTTCTGTTCACCTTCATAAGTAAGGTGTAGCTACTCACGCTAATCTAGCCACAATGTCTACCTGCCGTTTTCAGATATTGGCTTCCAGTATGTCCCTCATAGCAGGATTTTACCCTTGGTGAGAAGCCCTGCTTGACCCTAGGGAAAAGGAGAGACCAGCCCTGGCTCATTTGGACTGGTCAATACCTCAGGCAGGCGTCTGCCCTCAGTTGATCCAAATTAAATAATTATATACTGTGATGACAATAACGAATATGTACTTAATCTTTATCCTCATTCCTAGCTCACAGTTCCTAAAACCCTTTGAATTTTCTAAATGATAAGAACAATGGGGGGACCATCCCTTGTTCCAGTTGTGGGTCTTAGGGCCTCAGTTCCTGGAATAGCTCCGGAGGCCACAAATGTGAAGACGTGTCTTCTTATTCATAACACTCCCCCTGCAGCCACACCTGAGTGATGTGAATGAGGTGACTCTTGGAAGACGCTTGGAAGAGATGGCAGTGGGGAACCCGTGGGCAGGCTGACGCTGGCAGCCATGACCTTGCCTTACACTTTGACTGTGTTCTTCTCCTCCAGATTGCTGGGCCCCATGACCCTCTCCTAAGGGCCCCAGCTGGAGGTGCCTTAGACTGTGTCAGGCTTTCGGGTCTCAGTGGCCCTGCTCCGGGCCGACCCTGTTTGGCCGGCACCGACCCACGAGGGAATGGGGATGGGTGTGTTACTGGGGAACTGTTGTATGTTATCCTTTTCTCTCTTCTCTTTAAACACGCCAATTCTATTAAAGGCTTTTTGTTTTTTGTTTTGTTTTTTTTCTGCTAAGAGAATGGTTTGTCTTTATGCAGTGGGTGGCAGAACCTCTTTAGAGCGTACAAGTTTGGGGGTCTCGGGATGCCCCTCAGTTCTGCACATTCACAGACTTGACACTGGCAATGTGTCTCATATCAAATGATGAGACCAGACAAAGGACCTAGAAGGGGGCAAGGAAAACACTTCCTGTCTCTACACTGTCAGCTCACTGCTCCCAGGCCTGAGGGAGCGGCCAGCTCTCAGCAAGGGCAACTAGCCTGGGGTTGCTTCTGGGGTCCCATCACGGCCTGGAGTTGTCAGAGTCCAGTGGCCACAGCCCCACCGTCCCCTCCATGATGGCAGCAGAGGTGCAGGGCTGTCAACAAACCACAGCTCGGACACCAAAATCAATGTGGATCACAAAGGTTTACTCGTAAGCAGGAATCTGCTGATATACAGTGCAGACTTGATGTCTTGCAATCACACAAGCTGGGGAGCCTCAGCCACACCCCAGTTCTCTCTAGCCCTCCTGTGCCAGGTGATCTGAGGCCATAGGCCTGCAGCCCTACAGGACAGCCACCAGGGGGCAGAAGAGCTCCATCGCCCTGCGGGTCCGATGGGCAGTGGCTGCTCAGGCCAAGCAGGGGGGATATCCTGAGGGGGGGGGGGTCTCCTGACAGAGGCAGGCCTGACTCCACAGTGATGCTGGGCTCGCTAACCCCCAAAAGTTCAGCTGCCAAGTTCTAGTCCAGTAGAATTTTTCAGCAAGGGATCTAAGCACCCCTGACCAAATGGGCTTCTGAAGGAGTCCCTGGCCTTCCTTCCAGAATCTGCTCAAGGCCACACTCGTCCACTCTCCAAAGGGGGCTGGCTGGTGAGTGAAGAAGAATTCCTTGGCAAAAACTGCTGCTTTGGCTGCTTCAGGGCCGGCCACTCGATCCGACAGCCACGGTAACACAGCCACAGCAACACAGCCACGAACGTGGGGCCTGTTGTCAGCATCGCTGGTCCACTGGGGGTCACGGTGGGCTCAGTGCAGGTAGCTCCATGGCTCTCCTGGGGCCTGGGACTCCAGGAACAGAGAGGGGCGCTCGGGAAGACAGGGGAACCCCCTTGGGAGTGGAAGGAGGAAGGGCCAGGCTGAGGTAGGTAGAGAGACGGTTGGGGTCTTCTCGAGTTCCTGACATTCCCTGATAAGAGTGTGGCCTCCCAGGGAGGAGGGAGGTGGGGCCGAGATGTGGGTAAACTGGGGTCTAGGCCTAGAACAAGATGGAGCGAGCGGAAGCAGGCTTGGAGGAGGTGGTTCCCAAGATCCTTAGCGCCTCGGGACACTCTTGTCCACTACAGGGGCTGCCACCTCCTCCTGCACAGCACCAGCAGGCCAATGACACCCCCAGCTGCTGGCACTGTGCTGTAGTCTCAGAGATCAGGCTCAAGCGCAGCCCTTGTTCTCGGGGCCCCACTTCATGAGGCTCGGGCAGTGGACCCCCAGGAGAATGGTCGTGAGGGCCTCCCAGGGAGCCAGAGCCTCCCAGGGGCTCAGACAAATAAACAAAACACACAGAAAGAAGAGCTGTAGAAGTCAAGCTCATAGGGCCGGCTGGGGGTGGCTGTCGGACAGGCAGGAGCTCCCGTGGGCAGCCCAGCGCACCCCCATCCTTGTCCAGCAAGTTTCTGAGACCGCACTGGCAAGAGAAGAGGCTCCCCTAAATTCCAGCCTCCCTCTGACAATGAGGTTGTGGAGGCCATGTGGGGAGACTGATCCAGAAAGGGAACAAAGTCCTGGGTGAGGTCCCCGCGTGGGGTCTTCAGGCTCAGCCCACCGTGGCGTGGCATGGCCCAGGCCGGCTGGGTTAACTGGGTTTCATGCCGGCGTCCGGCACACCGAGAGGCAGTGGCTTCTCCTCCAGACCCTGCAGCAAAGTCTCTAGCCCCCCCGAATGGGAATGGAAAGCACATTCCTCCTTGGAGAAGGGAACCTGCTCGTCCTTCTGGGAGCCTGGAGGGCTGGTGTGCGCGTCCCCGGCTGCAGAGCAGGCCTGCCAGGGGCACTGAGCGTCGTGGTCGGAGCCGCTGCACACGTTCACGATGCAGGTGACGTTGACGTGGGTCCCGTGGCCGCCAGGCGAAGGCTCTGCCGAGCACAGAGGAGAGGGCGGTCAGTGGGGCAGGGGTTTGGAGTGGGGGCATCTTCAGGGCGTGTCCCTTCCCAAGGGGCAGGTTAGACCTGCGGGGAGAACACGAGGCCGTGAACCACAGACACCCAGCTGTGCTGCCTTGAGCGAGTCACTTAACCGTCACGTGCTTCATTTCCTGCTTCTGTCAAATAAGAACACCTGGCCCAGCACACTGCTAGGCGAGAGGAGCCAATTATACAGAGCAGCCGAAGGCAGTCTGCGAACAAAGCCCACTTCCTCACGCACTTCTTCACAGGGTCGGAGGTGGGAGCAGGGCAGGAAGTCTGCGTACAGGACCCAGGCCGCCCCTGGGGATGACTTACTTTCCCATAACTGCTGGAGGCATCAGCGGGCCTGGTCACACCCGCAATGACTAGGCCAGAACCCCAGAACCTGCTGTCGTTGGCCCATTATCTGCAGCCCAACAAATCAGCCCCAAGCGGCAGGAAATTGCTCCTTGATGGAGGCCAAACACTGGCCTTGAAATTCTCTGCATTCACAGCAGATCTTCCTCCATGCAGAACTACTGCTAAGATTTAAGAAACCTGGGATTCCCGCTTCCGCCTGGCACCCAACCCCAAGAACGTGGGAGGAGGATGGAGCCAGCAAGCTCCCCAGAGAGTGAGTGGGGGTAAAAGCTGATATACCACAGTTCCCAAATGTCACCCAGAGTCACCACGGCCTTTGCACATTGTGAAAGAGACACGGTGGGGGTGGGCAGGTCTCCACACGGGGGCTCAGGAGGAAGCCATGGCGGACGGCCAAGAAATCAGAAAGACTCCAGAAGCCCAAGGGTCCCCACTGGGCGCCCACTCTGCCATTCTGCAAAGGCTGACGCCACCGGCGTGCGTGCGTGCGTGCGCCCAGTCCTTCCGAGGGAGCTCTCGGGAGGGCAGGGGCGGGACAAGACATCACACTGGTAAGGGTGGGCTCTGACGGGGACACAGAAGGGGGACCTCAGGCGCCCTGGGGGTGGGGGCTGGGGGCGGAGCCAGGTAGCAGGGAGGAGAGGGCGTGGCTGCCGCCTGGGAGGAGCCGTGGCTCCCCAGGTTCAATGGGTTACGGGGGCTGCTGAGACTCAGCACCACGGGGCCTGGAGGACTGGGGGGCTGCAAACACCCCCAGTCCGTGGTCATTCCCTGACCTCCAGCCATCCAGGTGCTGCCAGGTGCGCAGGGGAGAGAGGCCAGTGGCCTCCACCTCTCTGCCACACAACCCACACAAGGAGGCTCTTACCTGAGCCCCGGGAGCTGGCCCGGGCCTCCCCAGGCCCATGGCGCTTCTCTGTGCCCAGGGCCTGCACACGGCTCTTGTCCGTGCTGGTGGCTGAGCTCTCCAGGGAGCTGCTGCTGGAGCTGGGCGCCGTGGTCAGCAGGTGCTGCTGCTCCAGGCCCGGCGCGCCCCGGACCTTATCAGCGGGCAGGTGAGGCTGGAAATGGAGGGAGGCCAGAAAGGTCAGCCGCCCGTGCCCCACGCCACCAGGGGGCAGACAGGGTCTCCAGGGCACACAGACCAGCCCAGGGCCAGCAGTTGGAGCCCAGTTACTGCCCGCCCCCAACCCACCTCAGTGTGGACAGGTGAGGGAGGGGAGGGACACCAAATGTCATTCCTCCTCCCTCCAGAAAAGGGGCTTTTCTGGCCTGGTGTCCCACTCTCTGCTGGTGGCTAGAACTGGGCGGAACAGAAACCCCCAAAGGTCAAGCCTCACCCCTCTAGCGGTAACAGCAAAGTTCAGGCAAGCTCTGGCTGGGACAGATGTTCCCAGGGCTAGATCCCCGGACTGGGGCCCTAGGAAGTGGGGGGCCAAGGAGCCTCACGAAACAGGACCCTGTCAGCCAGCCATTTCCCCAGCCCCTTCTGAGCAGAAGCAGAGACCGTGGTAGAGCTCCCAGATGGGCCCTCCAGACTCCTGCAGTGGATCTGTGTTCAGGAGGCTCACACACACGGACAGGTGTGATGGTGCCTGTGCAGGTGTGCACACCTGTCTCCGCATGTGGAGGCGGTAAGCACACCTGTGAGGGGCAGTTAGCGAGAGGTGCTGGGTGGTGAAGGGTCCTAGGCCACCTCACTAGCTGTGTGACCATGGCAAAGTGACTTAACCTCTCTGAGCCCTGGACTATAAAGTGGGGACATGTCACGCTGCCCGCTGCCATGCACCAACACTCCGAGGGCAGATAACGCACCGCCCTGTGCTCCGCAGCCCGGCAGCCTGGTAAGAGCCCACTCTCCGTGCTGACCATGAGCCCGCCTGAGTGTGTCTCTGGGGGTGATCATGAGGCGTGCACAGGTGCAGACACCCAGTCTTGTCTAAACACTGGGAAGCCACAGCCCCGCCAGGCCTTGGGGTCCCTGGGGCCACCGCGGGAGAGCTTGGAACGTGGCAATGAGTCAAGAGCACAGCTCAGGGTGCGGGGTTGGGGGGAGTCCCCTGCTGGGTGGGCCAGTTAATAGCACCCACTGGGTTCCCGACACAGGCACACACGCAGACATCACAGTCGGGCCCCTCTCGTGCCAAGCTCAGCGCTAGAAAGGGAAGCAGAGGCAGCTGGGTGACACCTAGGGAGGCTTCATGCAGGGGTATTGGGCAACTGGGTGGGGAGAGCAGTGCCGCCCGCCCACGGGGTGGAGCCTGGAGGCAGCGCTGCAGGCAGCCTCTGTCGAAAGGTCGGGAGCCAGAAAAATGAAGGCGGGATGCCGGCCCTTGGGGGAGGCAGGCACGCCAGGCCTCCCCAAACGGGCTGCAGCCACTGACAACGCTGCAGGCTGGACAAAGAGCACTGAGCTGGGACGCAGAGCCGCGTGGCCCGCGCCACTTCCCTCTCTGCCTCCTCTCTGTCAGCAGAATCAGGAGGCAGGAAGGCTCTGGCCCAGCTCCGTCCAAAGCCCCATGTAAAGCTCTGAGGCGCCAGGGCTGAGCTTTTCCTTGCGCTGCGGTTCTCAGCTAGGGGTGATTTTGTTCTCCAGGGTCCTATAATGTCCAGAGAGCTTCGAGAGGCTCCTGGGGGCAGTGCTGCTGGGTAGAAGGCAGGGACACTGGCAAACAGCCCAAGGATCACTGGTGCCAAATGTCAGTGTCACTTCCCCTTATTCTGTTCCTCTATAAACTGGATAAAAATCCTGCCCTGGGGGTAGAAAGGAGCAGGGGAGAAAATAATAATAATAATAATGAACAGCTCTCTACCAGAGACATTTTGTGGGGGTGGGGTGGGGGATGGGATCAAAAACAGTGGGGGAGGGAAATGCACTGGACTATAGTCATGGCACACGGGTGATTTGGTGATGGGAAGCCCAGGGGATTACAACTGAGATGGAAAAATGCACAAAATTATGTAAAAATAAACTAATATATATATATAACAAAATATAAATAAAATGCATATATTTTTTTAAAATCCTGCCCTGCCTGCCAGCTAGCGGGGTGCAGCCCTGAGCACCCCACACCCATGTCCAAGTCCCTCCTGGTCCTCTTCCCCACAGAGGCTGGCAAAACCAGTGTCCTCTTCCGGCCCCCCCTTGCCACTAGGGCTGGTCAGGTGACCAAGTCTCCCGGGGGCTTCCCAGAGAAAGTCTGCTTTCCGGTTAAAATGCATGAGGCTGGCCTGACCCTTCCCCTCGGCCTCAACCTGGAGGTCACATGGCCAGTGTGAGCGCAGGCCGTGACATGAGATCACAAGCAAAAGAACAGCATCAGGACAGGTTCTGTCTGCACCAGAGCCTGTGTCCAAGGGCGTCCATGGGGGCGCCGCTGAGCCCTGCAGGAGCCCTCCGTATCGTAGATCACCCGAAAGGTCTTCAGTTCCCTGCAGCCTAATGCCTTCCTGACAGATAACTGATGGTGTGCCAGTATCAGGTCAGTGTGCTTTTTCCAACAAAGAGCTAAGAGACCCTCCTTCGTAGGAAAGATCCGCAGTGAGTAAAAGATGGGCAGGACCCAGGGCCCAGCCCCCTCGCCTACTTCTCATTTCCAGAGATGAGCCCCCAGGGCCCTTGGGGAATACCTGGGTATCCCCAGCACTCAATGTGCTCCAAACGACCTGCTTTGCAAGAACCATGAGTGAGCCTCTCTGCCAGCAGGGCTGCCCTGCCGCAGGGTTGACTGTCCCAGGACGGCCACGGGCAGCCTGGCGCCTACTGAGGTGACACCATGGCCCAGGGCTAGGGCTCCCCCCACTCCTACTCCCCTAGACCTGACATTCCACACTCACACTCCTGTGTTAGCTCAGGGAAGGCTGCCTGGCCCCCAGGGCTGACTGTCCTTTCTCATGCCCCTGGGCTCCACCCAAGCAATGGAATTCACAGCTCCCCAGGGATGACCCAGCCCAGCAGGAAGGTGGCCAGGGGAGCAGGTGGGAGGAAGCAGGGACACTCACCACTTTGGCTTCTCCTTGCAGGCAGAAGGGTCTCTCTGCAAAGGGGGGGAGGGGACGGTCAGGGAAAGTGACGCCCTTCTAGGTGTCCAGCAGGGCCCCAAGGAGAATCTTCAGGCGTGGCCTGGGTTGGGGGGACAATACCTGCCTGCCCATGCCTGCCCTGGCCTCCTGCGGGCCTCTGCTTATTTCCTCCTCCCTGAAGCTGCCCTCAGCCCCGCCCCTGCGTGCCCCTGCTCACACCACACCCACGGAGACCTGACCCAGCTGGCATGACTTCTGCTCCAGAAGGGAGGTGGCCTCCCAGAACCCCTAGACAGGAGCCGTGACCCCCTCCGCCCCTGGACAGCTGGCATCTGGCCTTGGAGGAAATAAGTGGGAGTCCTTCTGCAGAGCCCTCAGCACCCATGGGACTCGCAGATGCCCCAAGGAAGCTTCTGAGCCAATGGGTGGAGGAGGGAAGGGAATCTTACTTTTCCTGTGGGTCAGGATGATGCAGTTCACCAGCCCTATGAGGAGCAGGCCCAAGGCTGTCACGCCCACAATCAGTCCTGAAAGGAGGAGACACTCAGACACCAGCAAAAAGCAAACTCCAGCTTCCGCTTCGCAGTGCAGACTCCGGGGACACAGGCCGCAGAGGGGCCCCGTTCAGAGGCCTCAAACTCAGTGATAAACGGCCGACCCAATCCAGATGTCACGGGAAACTATGGCAGGGCCACAGGGCTCCGTGGCTTGTGGGATTGCGCTCTCTGGCCGAACCCCAGACGGAAGCCCGTGGGGTGGCCTGGGGCCCACTGTCTTCACAGCCTCATGAGTTCATCAGGGAGACCACGTCTGTGGTCAGGTAAAATGCCCGCCCTGACTTCTGAGTAACGGCACCCTGACCCTGACGGGGTGGGGGTGGGGGTTAAGTCAAATCACTGCACCCCAGAACAGAGCACAGGGTTCAGCAAAGACAGGGAGGGTAGAGGAAGAGGGAAGAGAGGTGTGAAGGGAGAGGGAGGGAGAGGAGGAGGAGGGGGGGGGGGGGGGGGGGGGGGGGGGGGGGGGGGGGGGGGGGGGGGGGGGGGGGGGGGGGGGGGGGGGGGGGGGGGGGGGGGGGGGGGGGGGGGGGGGGGGGGGGGGGGGGGGGGGGGGGTGGGGAGAGGAGGAGGGGAGGGGAGGGGGAGGGGCAAGGTTAGGAAAGATGAGCCAATCCTGTGACTGACCGATGGGGAGGGCCATGGTGCCTGTGATGATTCCTTCCATGGGGGGACTGGGGCCCAGCGGGGGCAGCAGGGAGGTGCTGGCAGCCAGGCTGGGCCCTGGAGTTGGCTCCCTGTGCAGGGAGGCGGTGGACTTGGGCCGAGGCGTGGGGTCGGAGCCCAAGGTCGCTCTGGAGGTGGTGGGGGCCGACTCCCCGCTGCAGACTGCATCCCTGCTCGCGTTGCCAGGGACGGCCACGGAGCGGCAGCTGCGAAAGGAAGAGGCCGTTAGACGAGAGCACAGGCCGCCCAGGGTGCCACCCGGCCCAGAGCAGCGAGCAGCGTCCCCCGGCAGGAACAGGAACAGGGGAGGGTCTGCGCCCCTTCCTGGCCCCGCTCCCCAGGGTGGACTCCCAAGCAAGGCTGCTGTGGGTGGGCTGTCTATTCTGGAACCCGCCTCCCCTAGATAAGCTGCCTGGCATGGCCAGGCATGGCCCTGCCTGCGGGGCGCATGGGGCACCTGAGGCACCAGGGACGTCCCGTCACCGGGACCAGCCCCACCCTGCTCCCTCGACCCCACTCAGCCTCTCACCTCCTGTGGGGCCTGCAAGTGTCGGTGGAGGACTCAGTGTCAGAGAACGTCCCTGGGGCGCAGGGAGCGCAGACCACATTTGAGATGGAGGATCCTGTAGGGAAAAGCAGGTCCTGTCAGCCGCTGACCCCAGGGGACAGACGGCCTTGGCCCTGGTGCCCTGAGATCATGGGGGGCCCTTGGATCTGTCTGCATCTCTGCCCTAAACACACACTCATGCACAGACACACGCATGCAGCAGGCACGCACACACCCCAGGCACTCGCAGTTGCTCCGTCACACTCCCTGGTCTCCAGAGTCACGCGGCTCATTTTCCTGTGGCATCACCTGATTTTCTAGCACTGGGGGGCTTAGCCTGATGCTCTGGGTCCCCAGGGCCTTAGCACCCAGAAGGGGCCTCATCGGGAGTGCTGGGAAGAACAGAAGGGGCTGGGTGGCTGGGCGGGGAGAGCGTCTGGCCCACCGCTGGTGGGCTGACATGGGTGGAGGAGAGGCCCCAGGGCCCCCCGCCGGCGAGCCCCGGCCCATACCTGGCTTGGTGACACCCATGCCGGGGGGGCACTTGCGAAGGGGCATGCACAGGCGGCAGCCCTCCTGCCGCACCAGCATGCAGTACCAGCCGGGCCTGCAGGTGCAGATGCGGTTCTGGTCCCGAGTGCAGGCCTGAGTCTCCACCTGGTCTGGAGGGGGGAGAGGGCCCGGTCACTGCCCCACACCTCAGCCCTCCCCGCCTCCCCACCATGCACAGGGAACCCTGGTCTTCTGCAGGTGCGGGCCACCCCTCCCTCAACGGAGTCGGGGTCCAGTCCTGCTCTGGCTCCATCACCGCGGGCGAGCAAGCCACCTGCTCGCCAAGGCACCATCACTCAACTCCTGGGGGCCCGGTGGGCTCCGATCCTGGGGCCGTCGGGGGAGTTGGTGAGGCAGGGGGTGAAAGGTCCATGGATCTAATACAGCTTCGGGGGCCCCCTGCTGCCCACAGGCATGGAGGCAGCTGGGGAGGGGGTCTCACCAGCTCTCAGCCAGAGAGGCCTGAGGGCCAGGGGTGGTGGCGGCCCGCTCAGACTCACCCGAGGTGCAGCGGGAGTCACAGCTCAAGCACTCGGGGAGCCAGTTCCAGAGCTGGGTGTAGGTGCTGCTCTGACAGGGTTCGCACACGGTGTCCGAGGTCCTGGTGCAGTAGAACCGCATGTGATGGCCTGAGGAAGAAAGGGTGAGGGTCTCAGACCCCTGGGCCCACTCACTAAGCCCCAGAGCCCCGGAGCCCCGAGGGAAGACAGTCTGAAGAGGTTCAGGCTCCCCCTCAACTCACCTCACATCCACATCCACCAACTGTCACTCCTCTGAACTGCCACTGCTCAAAAATACCTCCCCCTCCGGTTCCTCAAACTGCTTAGCATGGAGCTTCCCTACGACCCAGCAATCCCACTCCTAGG